AGCATCTTAGCTGTGGAGGGCAGTGTCACTGGCCCTCCTATGTGGGATCCGAACCGGGGCCCTCTGGCATCCCAAGCGAGTTCTTAACCATCGCGCCACTCGGCCGGCCCTGTAAATTTTTCTTTAATTTTAGCAACTACCTTGCTATAGGCTGAATGTTTGTTGTAGTGTCTCCCCCATTATTCCTGTTAAAACCAAACCCCTATGTGCTGGCATTTGGAGGTGGGGCCGTTGGGAGGTGCTTAGGGTGATGAGAACAGAGCCTTCATGAATAGGATTAGTGCCCTTATAAAAGAGACCCCAAAGAGCTCCCTTGCCCCTTCTACCAGGTGACAAGGCTGTTGTCTATGAACTAAGAAGCAGGTCCTCACTAGACACAGAATCTGCCAGCTTCCCAGCCTCCAGAACTGTGAGAAATTTCCACTGCTTATAAGCCACCTGTCCATGGCATATTGTTATAGCAGCCCAAACGGACTAAGACATAACCTGATATTATGCAGTGTTAGTTCTCTTCAAAGTATTTTCTGTCTACTTAAGAATTACTTACAGCTTCTTCTTCTTTATCAACATTACTAGTTTGTGACAACTTAATATTTCCATTTCCAAGTTCCCCACTTGCAGAAAATTTCACTCCATCCTTTGCACAGGAAATTACAACAGCATCTCCAATGTGACTGAGATCCCGGCATATACGTGCAAATTCACCAGAAGGCATCTTTACTACACAGCTATACTCTTGTTCCTAGAAAACAAACAAAAAAACACTTAAAGGTCAATTTCTGGAAATGAAAGAATTGGCACCTAAACAAGAACTCAGAATTTAAGTCTCCCCCACCTAAATTTTATTGGGGAACAGCCATGGTCACTGGTTACACCTTGCTTTCTTGCTACAATGGTCTAGTTGATTCTTTTAAGGAGTGCAGCTCACAGTATGGCCCATGCGGTGATCAAACCGGCAACCTTGGTGTTATCAGCACCATGCACCAACCAATGATCTAACCGGTCACCCCCCAAAATTTAAGATTTTTGATTACTTTGAAATATCACTGGGCCGGCCGAGTGGTGCGTTGGTTAAGAGCTAGCTTGGGACGCCAACTCTGAGCAGCAGGGCCCAGGTTCGGATCCCGCATGAGGGCCAGTGACACTGCCTTCTACACCTAAGATGGTGAACAATAGCTCGACCTGGAGCTGGGCTGCCGTGATTCGCCGGCAACAGCGTAGGCTGCAGTGGGTTGCCATGAGCTACTGTGTGTGGCTGGCAGCCAGCGTGAGCGGCTAGCAACCGGTGTGAGTTGCCAAGAGGCCGGCAACCTATCTGCCTCACCCGCGAAGAGCCCAATGATAATACCAACATGGGTCAGTGAAGCGACGTCCTCCACAACTAGACTGAAGAACAAAGGACAGCAACTTGTCTGTTCCCCTTCCCCGATTCCCCAATGCTGTTCCCCTCCCCCAGTTCGCCAATAAAATCTTTAAAAAAAAAAGAAATATCACTCATTGTGTGACTTCTTAACGAACTTCAAACACTCAAAAAATAAGTGCAGATATAAAACAAGTATAAGAATAATCATACTAAGAAAACAAATTAGAGCTTAAACCTTTAACAGTAAATGCACTATCCAGGGAACTAGAGCCCCTTCCAATCACCCTCCAGGGCTAACTCAAGAGGACATGAGAGTATGGCATAGGAACAATGATGGTGCAAGCAGGTCTACCTGCTTTCCAAAATGAAAGAATATGGTATACTAGGGATTATAAACATTCCAACACTTCTCCTTTAATGTTGACAAATCTAACCTTAATAAATTTCTGCCATCATAGCTTTAAAATCTACTCTTAATACAAACTAACCGTTCTAGGAATAAAAAGATGCATGGAGGTTAATGAAAACACAAATATGCACTTGGCAATAATGAATTCAACCAATGATTTATTTTAGAGTACTGTGTAGTTTAAAAGACAAATGTGTCAGTCTAAATACCAAAACCCCACTTTGCAACATACACCAGCAGATATATAATTGTTAGGAAGTAAGCTTTAAATAAATTAATTATATTAACATATCTTATGTAACTCATGTACAGTACACTCGACCAGAAATTGATACTCACTGGAATCCCAAGTTGTTCAACATCTAAATCCATTAACTTCATTTCATAGTCTGAAACCTTTTCTTGGTCTACCAAAAGAAAGCAAATGTTGAAGAAAAGCATGTAAGTTTACAACTATGATGTAAATATTATAAGTATCACAAACATTATCTTAAACTTCTCCCAGCTTTAAGAAATACTGACACTGCATTTTAATTTTCTTCAGCCTAACTCAGTAGAAGAATATGACCTACTTGGAGCTTCAAAAACTAGTGCCAAGGTGTCCGCATTATCTTCAGCCCTTAGTGTAATGATGTCTTCGTTGCCCGCACACTTTAGTATTTTGGACATGCTAGAACAGAGAAGGCACAGGGTTTCAAAATTGACACTATCTTTTCAAGATCGTTAGATTTCTAAGCAATTAAAACAAGGAGTTACCATTTTTACCCATTAGGCTGTCTGATGAATTGGCGAGTTAGACAAACGTACTACAGAAGGATGTGTAAACCGGTCCAGCCATTTTGGAATGCAATCTGCCACTTATAGTTAAACTAAAAATCTCACACCCTACCACCAGCAATTTCACTTCTGGATATAAATAAAAGAGCAGCATTTTCTGATTTGCAAATCCATTTATTGGGTTATTGGCCTCGACGACCATTAAAAACTATTTGAAGTTGAAAGCCATTTCCCTGCAGAAATTTTCCCTCAAGTCCAAGAGGGTGCTCACTACTTTACTTTATAAAAGACCAGAAAAAACCTATTGTCCCTAAGGAGATATAGAACTAGGGGGGCATTATAAAGCGGTGAAGTCAACCATAATCATGGTTTCTCATCCAAGGCCGCCGGCACCTAATGACCAAAGAGTTCTCTAACAGTTTTTCCTGGCTGAGCAGCGAAACTCTTCATTTTCCCGCCACCCCTCCCCCTTTGTGACTTTGGCGCGGAAAAAGCCGGTTCGCGCCGCTGTCAGCGCGGGAGTTTGGAACCGCGCGCTCCGCTGGGTCCCGCCTCCTGGTAGAGCAGGCCAATGACATGGCGCCGACGGCCCACTCCAGCTAATGAGGGCCCGGCTCAGAGGTGCTCCCGCCAAGAGCCAGAATTGGGGGGTGAGGGGAAGAGTGCATGGCTCCCCGCCGCCCCCCAGCTTACCTAGTGAGGTTCACACCCATGGCCAGGTTGCGGTCGCAGCGGTACGTGTCGAACCCCTCGGAGCGCAGGGTAAGCTGCACTAAGGAGACGTGGGACGAGTCCATACTTTGCAAGTTCACGCCGCTGGAGCTGATGTCCCAGCAGGCCTCGTTGATGAGGTCCTTAAGCGCCTCCAGCACCTTCTTCAGGATGGAGCCCTGGACCAGACGCGCCTCGAACATGGTGGCGGTGTCGCAACGACGCGGCTACAGTTTAAGGTTAAGAGGAAGGTGTAGCCGGTTTAGGCTTCACAGGATGAGAGCAAGCAGGCGAGCACAGCAGTAAAAGCCGGAGACCGAGAAAGACCACAGCAAACACACTGCGCCAGCAACCGTTTAATACCGCCGCGTCTGCGAGCGCGCGCTCTCCGTCCCTGCGCCCCGTGTAAACGTCACCACGCTGCCCCGCCTACTACCTGGGCGGAGAGACTCTACGGCCAATCGTGTGCCTGCTCTGCGCGAAGCCTGCCCCCAAACATCCATTGGAAAATGAGATTTGCCCGGGCAGGAACTCTGCACCCTCCGGGGATGGCAGAACCAGAAGGACAGGACTCCCCGCCTTTTTGCCGTGTTTTAGAGTCTGAACTCTAGACAAATCCGGGCATCAGTGAATTCCAGCGTCGTGGTACTTCCTTAACCTCCTGCTTTGAGGATAGAAAGTTTCCATCCATAAAAGTGAAACACAAGTGCAACCGGGGGGAAGGGGGGAGAGTGGGGAAGAAGAAACGCCTGTAGCCTGAAGAGAACAGCTGCTTTAAATGTGCACTTTAGCTTTGCTGTAATAGAAGTGACGCTCTCCTAAAAGTCAAACGGTAAAGAGTTGTATACTTATGATAAAAAATTATTTCAGCTTCCCATCACCATCCTCTTAACACCCCCACACACACACACACGCAAAGCTCATATCACACAATCGTTTCCTATGGACAGCTTTCTAAGCTTTTTCAATGCAAATATACATTTTTTTAAAGAACAAAAACAGGTTCTTCCTGTTAACACTTCTGCAATGTACTTAAAGTACATTTAATTTTTTTTTTAAAGATTTTTATTGGGGAATTGGGGGGATGGGAACAGTGCTGGGGAATTGGGGAAAGGGGAACAGACAAGTTGCTGTCGTTTTGTTCTTCAATCTCTAGTTGTGGAGGACGTTGCTTCACTGGCCCAAGTTGGCACCATCATTGCGCTCTTCTCTGGCGAGGCAGATCAGTCGCCGGCTTCTGGACGGCCGCTCACTGCGGCTGCTGGCCGCTCACGCTGGCTGCTGGCTACACACGGTAGCCCATGGCAATCCACTGCCACAGGGACTGCAGCCCACGCCGTCGCCGGCGACTCATGGCAGCCCAGCTCCAGGTTGAGCTGTTGTTCAGCATCTTAGCTGTAGAGGGCAGTGTCACTGGCCCTCATATGTGGGATCCGAACCGGGGCCCTCTGGCATCCCAAGCGAGTTCTTAACCATCGCGCCACTCGGCCGGCCCTAAAGTACATTTAATTTTATGCCACACAAATGTTTTCTGTATTAGTACCTTTCAAAAAGGCATAATATAGGCATACCCCAGAGATATTGCAGGTTTGGTTTCAGACCACCGCAATAAAGTGGAGTATGGCAGTAAAAAGAGTCGTGCTATTTTTGCTGGTGGAGAGTTTTCCCTTAATTTGTAACAAACGCAACACTTGTGAAGCACAAGAAAGCCACATGCAATGAAATGAGGTATGCCTGTATCTTATGTTTGTAACCTAATTTACCAATTTCTTATATTTACAAACACCTTTGGGCACTTAGATGATTTTGTGAGATCAACTCCTTTATTACTTGCATACACATTAAGTATTTGATTAATGTTACTAAATTGACCTCTAAAGAACTGCAATTTATGTTCCAGCCAAGAGTGAGTATGCTCATATCCCTTGATTTTCCTAACTACAGATATTAGCAATCTCGACTTTAAATCTGTGCTCATTTATGTGAAAATTTCAGTTTGCATACTGAGTGTTACAGGTTGAACATCTTTCATATATTTCTTGACTATTGCATGTTTATTTTTTCTATTAAACTGTCTTTCTTACTGATTAAAAGAAGCACTTTATATATATTATATATAACACTAATCATTTCCCTGTTATATGTATTCTCCCCCTGCTTTGTTATTTCTTTGACTTTGATTACAGTATTCCCCTTTAGTTGCATTTGATATCTTATTATGGTTTGTAGAATTCTTTGTTTTTTCTACCATGTATCTGGGTGTGGATTTAGTTTTATTTTTTGTGTTCTGATTCATGTATTTCATCAAGTCTAGAATATTCTCAACCATTATGGCTTCAAATATTGCCTTTTTCTGGTATTTCTATTAGATTTATCTATTTCATTGAATTTAAGATACCATCAATTGTAGGATGCACCGTTACTTTATGTAGCAGAAGAAAGAAAATAAAATATTGTCAGACTCTCATACAGTGTTTATCATTTCGAATTTCTATTTTGTAATTATTGAAAGAATTTTTAGATGTTTTAAACATTTGTATCACATATTGTGCATATATATACACACACACACACACACACACACACACACAATTAACTGCCTAAACATTCCTAATATTTCTCCATATTCAGTTTCCTACTCAGTTGCTGGTACTGCTGTTTTTCCATATAATATCATACTCTATTGTATAGGGTGATGATGAGTGCTACTCTATTGTTTCTGGAATTTCTTCCAAGTCTCTACCACCCATTTGTAAATTTTTTTATTAAAAAATTTGTATTCAGTTTATTTAAGTTAAAAAAATAAAAAACAGGGGCAGCTGGTTAGCTCAGTTGGTTAGAGCGCAGTGCTCATAACACCAAGGTTGCCGGTTCGATCCCCACATGGGCCACTGAGCTGTGCCCTCCACAACTGGAATGAAACAACTACTTGGAGTTGATGAGTCCTGGAAGAACACACAGTTCCCCAATTTAAAAATAATAAATAAAACAAAAAACAGTATACCCATTTCCCCCCACCTCTGGCAACCACCTATCTGTTCTCTGAATCTATGAGCGTTTTTTTTTTCTTGTTTTTGTTTTTGTTTTGGGGGGGTGCCACGTATAAAAAAGATCATACAGTATTTGTCTTTCTCTGTCTGACTCATTTTACTTAGCATAACTCCTTCAAGGTCCATACATGTCACAAATGGCAAGATTTCATTCTTTTTTATGGCTGAATAACATTCCATTGTATATATATACCACTTCTTTATCCATTCATCCATCCATCGACATTTAGATTGTTTCTGTGTCTTAGCTATTGTAAATAATGCTGCAGTGAACATGGAGGTGCATGTATTTTTTCAAGTTAGTGTTTTTGTTTTCTTTGCATAAGTACCTAGAAGAATTGCTGAATCATAAGATAGTTATAGTTTTAATTTTTTGAGGAACCTACATATTGTTTCCCATAGTGGCTGCATCAATTTACATTTCCACCAACAGTGCACAAGGGTTCCCTTTTCTCCACATCCTCACCAACACTTGTTATTTCACTTTTTAACAGGTGTGAGGTGATATCTCACTGTGGCTTTGAGTTGCATTTCCCTGATGATTAATGATGTTGAGCATCTTTTCATGTGTCTGGGGAAAGTGGTGCAAGGTAAGGATGCAAAGATAGGCAGGGATGAGATCTTATAGGACTTTACAAGCCCTCAGTAAATACAAGGGAAAATTATCAAAAGAAGGTCTTTGTCATGGTCCAATTTATGTTTTAAGAGGATCACTTTAACATCTGGTATAGGTGCTATTCCATTAGTGAGTGAAAGAATGAATTAAGTAAATTATGATTAAACAATTGGTTAAATTTCTAGGAAAGAATAACTCGATAGATCCTTCCTAGTAACTGTCCACGGAAATAAATTCCAAATAGATTAAAGAATTAAAATTCAAAAGAATATAAACCCAGTAAGAAATAGAAAAGTATTTTGGTAAATGTTTATGAGATCTTGCTGTGGGCTTCTAAACATAAAAGGAAAAAAACCCATAAAACATAAGGAACAACTACATAAGATTTAAAACTTCAGTATGCATGAGAGCACTGTGTTGGTTAGTATATTTTAAGTTTCCATGACAGAGAACCCAATTCAAACTGATTAAAAGAAAAAGAGAATTTAGGCATCTAAACAAAAGCCAGAGGTATCTGACTTCCAGTGTTCAAAGCCCCACCTTAGTAAATGTATGAAAATAATGGTTAGCCATATTAATTAGCGAAAAAATATAAATTAAAGTGAGACAGAATTTTAACCTACCAAATTAAAAATTGTGTCAGCGCCAATTTGTTAGGAAAGATTCAAGGAAGTGGACACTTTTATGCCCTGATGTTGGGAGTATAAATAGGTATAATTTTCCAGTGATAATTTGGAAATGTGTATGGAAAATCTTAGAATTTTATTCATTCTTTGACACAGAAATTCAATCTCTAGGATTGTTTTTCTAAAGAAGTAGTCAGAGGTAATTACCAAGATGAGGCATGTTTAAAAATGTTTCTTATAGAATTATAAACAATTCCCCTGAAATTGGAAGTAACTTTGAGGTATAACAATATGGTCTTTGTTAGGTAAATTATGATAAATCTGTAAGATGGAATACCATATAGCCTTTCAAATACCATCCTCAGTGGGCATTTAATGATAAAGAGAAAAGTCTGGTTATAAAACAGTATTAACAATAGTATTCTAATTTTCTAATATTGTTATATCTGGGTACAAGTGCATAGAAAATGAAAAGACAAAAATATAAATAGTAACAGTAATTATCTGTGGCTGATGATACCACAAATGATTTTTATATTTTTCATTCTACTTTTCTGCATTTCCTACACTTTATCAGCTGTGTATTGTTGATTAGAAAATGTTAATGAATGTTGGGAGAAAAAATGTTGTAAACTATTTGATATAATTTCTGGGAAATTTCTTTACAAGGTGATATCATGTATTAGAGTGATTCTCAATCCTGGCTGTAATTAGACTCACCTGGGGAGCTTAACAACAACAAAAGCATATTTCCTCCAGGCTCCATCTCCTGAGATTCTTATGTACAATAGTTGGTCTAGGGGTGGACCCTCCATTGGTATTTTTTTAGAAGCTCCTCAGTTAATTCTAATGAATAATCAGGAACAAGAATTACTGTTTCAGCATGTGTGGTCAATAGATGAATAATTGTGCTTAAAGCCACCTGCCTCCCCTCTCTCCACCTCCCCGCACCAATGTAGACTATTGGTTTGAACAAGTAAGACCTCTACTTTGTCAGGAGACTGACAGTATAGTTTAGAAGGACTGTCTAACAGTCTAATAGGTCTGTAAGTTTGTGGAAGTGCAGGATTTGCATTTCCGAAGCTTTAAGAAGTTTGTCAGTTCTGCATAGCCCATTCTCAATTACATTTTGCATGTCACATCATTAAACTGAATAAGAAGTTTTAGGTGAGGGCCGGCCGAGTGGCGCGTTGGTTAAGAGCTGGCTTGGGACGACAACTCTGAGCAGCAGGGCCCCAGTTCGGATCCCACATGGGGGCCAGTGACACTGCCCTCTACAGCTAAGATGGTGAACAATGGCTCGACCTGGAGCTGGGCTGCTGTGAGTCACCAGCGACGGCATAGGCTGCAGTCCCTGCTGCAGTAGGCTGCCATAAGCTACCGTGTGTGGCTGGCAGCCAGCATGAGCGGCGGGCAGCCAGTGTGAGCTGCCAAGAGCCGCAGTGAGCGGCCATCCAGAGGCCAGCGACCGGTCTGCCTCACCCAGGAAGAGCGCAATGATGATACCAACGTGGGCCAGTGAAGCAACGTCCTCCACAACTAGGCTGAAGAACAAAACAACAGCAACTTGTCTGTTCCCCTTCCTCTGATTCCCCAGCACTATTCCCCTCCCCCAATTCCCCAATAAAATCTTAAAAAAAAAAAAGTTTTAGGTGAGAATACTTGTAAAACTGAGAAACAGAAAGGCAATATGAAGAGCAGGTAAAGCCTGTTTTTGTTTATTGATGATTCTTTAAAACTTTATTGTTTAAAGAATCGTTTACTGACAATTCTTCCCTTCTAAGAGAGGAAAAACACTATTTAGGGAACTAAAGAATTTTCTTGTCACTTGTACCAATGCAGTTATTAAACATCAAGAAGGGGGGAGGTATTTTTATTATAGAATGATAATAATTGCAGCAAAAGCTGCCCACTTATGCTGAGCACACAGTCAGCCTGCACATTCAGGGGGACGAAGAATCTCATGCTAGTTACTTCTAATCAAAATAAAATTTCAAAATAATGGAACAAGCAAGGTATGCAACGAAATGACTATATACAAGATATGTCACAAGCCTGGAAGAAATGACCCAAGGTAACAGTGCTAATATGAGAAATAGAAGAGTCAGTGATAGAGGAAGAGGTGTAAGGTAATGTAAAGGAACAAAATTCTTCTTTAGGCTGGAGGTGGGGGAGATTTTGACTTTTCTTTCTACAATTGAGGGAGAGGCTCTAAATCTGGTTTAAAGGTTAGTTAGCATTACTTCCAGAGAGGTCTGAGTACCTGATCCCTCTTTTCCATAGCGCTGACTTCAGGAATGTACTTGGTCTGAGTTTAGTTAGCCTGGCAGGGCTGAATGTAATGGATGAGAAGTTTGCTGAGGCCAAATTGTAGGGGTTATCTACCCTAGTAAACACACTGTGCATTCTGAAACTCTGAACTATGTGCAATGGCTTTCCCACCTTTTTTATATTAGGCTGGATTTGAAAGGGAACAGCTGAGCTTTTGGAAGGACTGATGTATGCTTCCTCAGATGTGAACTTTCACTATTATGTACCTGAAAGGTGAGGATCTGAATACTAACACCACCACCTGTCTCAGAGGATGACCTTGTGGCTCTGTGTTGATGTCTTTCTAGGTCCCTTAGGTCATAAACCTTGCTTAATTTACCCAAGAAGTGCCTGGTCTTTAGATCAAGAAGTGACCACTAACAGTTGAAATGGTTATCACAACAGTCCTTAACAGATTAAAAGAGTTTTAAAATTACCATCAGCATGTTACTTACTTTTATAAGTAACATTTAAACAAGACAAAACAGAAAAGCAAAGCTTTCTTTAAATATATTATGGTCTCAAAACAAACAAACATTTGAACAATGTTAATAGGAAACAAAGCATACTCTGAGTTGTCTTCCTCCATGTCTATTTTACTGTCACTTTGAAGCACTGTTACAGTAACTTGGGTATACACTCTTACAGAAATCAAGAATTCTCACTAGTTTCACCAAAACTCACAGTTCAGGTCAAAATTGCTTATACGAAAATGCAACTCATTATGTCTGCAAGTTTCTCTCGTTAAATTACATATGCTTAAGGGAAGGGACCTCATTTTATACTTGTTTTACATCAATACAAGGCAGAGAATAAGAACCGCTGACAATGCTTGAGAAAAAGGTTAGTGTGGGCTTTGGTAAGAAACAGATCAGTGTTCTAATTCTTAGTGGGCATTTTCTAGCTGTGAGCCCTTGGTTAAATCCTTTTCCTTTAGGAAAAAATTTAAATCCATTCAACGACTATCTAGGATGTGTCAGATACACAGAGGATCTGGCTGTGAACAAAGCAGACAGCATTCCTATCCCCAAAAAAGGTCTGTCAGCAGTCCAGAAGGCAGAAAACAAATGTGAAAAATCGCGGAAGATTTTATCTATAAAATGAAAATCGTATCCACTGCCAAACGTTGTGCAGATTGAATGACATAAATTAAAGCGATTTAATTTATGTACCTAACACATAATTAACGCTCAGTAAGTACTAGAGACAACTTGGCAAAGAAAGCAACGCAGACTGAAGTTTGGGTTTCACTTCCCTTATCACGTGACGACCTCCTCTTACACAGATGGGCTCCCCAGGCCTTTCCACTCAGGGCCTAACCAGCGTCTACTTACATGCGTGAGGGAAGAGGCCTGGCTACCCACGACACAAAGCCCAGACCAGCAAGCAAAGCACTACCCAGGCTAGGGCCCGCGGGGTGCCTCCTCTCGTCTCCACTAACCCGTTATTTCTTGGATCTAGGTACCAGCACCGGTCAACCGCAGTCCGGCAGAAGCTCCTATTGGCTAGTCTCCCTCGGAACGCACGCCTTTCCCCGCCCCCTCACGTTTCTGTCCAATGCGCGCCTACCCACTCCGCTCCACCCTGCCCTTACTGCCCCGCCCCCCTGGCGGATCCGCGCCATTGGTGGATGTACGGGGCCGTGATGGTGGCTGTGCGCTTGCGCGTTCTCTCTGGGGCCATCTGGAGAGTAGGAGCTAGCGGGCTGGGGCTGGAGGAGGCCGATCGTGCTCCGCCCCGGTGAAAAGGCGGCGACGGTACTGGGTGGGGCCGAGGTCCAGGGCTGGCCGCCGGTCTGCGGTGGGGCCTGCGAACCGCTGCCGAGCTGTGAGCTGCTCAGGCGGGGCGGGGCCGGCCCCCCAGAGTCCGCGCGCGCCCGCTGAGCTGCCGGCTCCCGCGGCTGCGCTGCTCGCCCGCAGGGACGTCGCTCCAGTGTCTCCAGCATGAACGAGCTGAGGCTTAGGGCGGTCCGCGAGCCGGACGCGCCGCCGGAGTACAAGGTAGCGGCGGCATCGGGGTGGGCGCGGTCAGGGCAGCGGCGCCCCCCGGAGATTCGCGGGGGGCACGCGCAGAGGGGTCATCTGGCTCTTTGACCCTTTGTCGCGGCCGACGGCGGCACCAGGCCTGGACGGCTTGGAGGGTCCTCGGATGCAGGGCCCCCGCGGAGCGCGTGTCAGGGGTCAGCAAGAGGGGACACCGGGGACACAGCTCTGGGGTCCGGTTGGAGGTGGTATCTCCACGGCGCAGAAAGGAGCGTTCGGGGGGTTACCCACCTGCTTGCCTCTCAGGGCTGGTTGCGGGGGGGGGTCCCCCTCTAGTCCCTCACCTCCCGAGGCCTTTCGAGTGTGAAGACGTCGAGACCCGAAAGCCTTCTCTGGCCGGCGACTCCTCTGAGCCCGACTTAGGCTCTCTGCACACCATTAAAATGTTTTTTGTTTTTTGTTTTTCGAGGGGGGAAGTTATCAAGACAAGGCTTTGGGATTTGCCTCCTAGGACATTTAAATCCCTTCTGGAAAGTGAAATCCGTTGGCTCTAAGCAGAGAGGTTACTTGATTCACGCAGTCAGCAGGTGTTGGAAGGTGTACTCCCCAGTAGATGGGCTTGTTTATTGCGTGAAGTGTGGGCATTGATGGGGTAGAGGAGGGTAAAAAAAAAGAGGCCATCTTGGCAGGGATGTGGCTGGTTGAGGGGTGAGGGATGAGGGGAGTAGACTCCTTTCATTGAAGTGAAAGGTTTGTGTAGGAAAGTTGAGGAAGGTGGAGAGGGGTTGTGATACTGTGGACTTTGAATGACAGCATAACTGTGTGTGTGTGTGTGTGTGTGTGTGTGTGTGTGTGTGTGTGCGCTTGCTTGCGCTTGCGCTTTTGTTTTTATCAATAAGTATGTCTAATTATTACAAATAGTTAGCTTATCCAAAATATAGCTGACTAGCTATCATGTCTTTTTTCTCCCTCTTCTCAAACCTTTAAGGCCCACAGTCTCATTAACATCAAGTCTGACTTGTCACCCTTCAACAGGGCTATATAGCCTCTAGACATCTGAATACTCACCGCCTACTATATACAGGGTGGGGACAGTTCTTTCAGGCCCAACCAGGGTATTTAATAGGAAGATTAGAGATTTCAAAATACCTCGTCACTGCAAGCAACTCCTAAACTTGAACCAAATCCCTACATTTTCTCCAAAATTTATTCTAAAAATCAATATGAAGAGTTCTACTTGGATGACCCACTGTCAATAGCAACAGCAAAAGAGTTATTTAAAACCCCATTATCATTCACCCAAAACATTCCTCCTAGTATACAAAGTTTCTCTGCTTCCCCCCTCCCCAACTCCTTGGATCCATCCCCCAGAGAAAGTGCTAGCTGACTCTTAAATTCTTTCTCATCCCATGTTTTAGGTAGGGAGGACATGAGGAGCTGTCCAGCTGAAGGTGCCTTAATTTTTTTTTTTCAACTGCACTTAAACCACTTATACAATGACAGAATGCCTGGGGTGTGAGGTTCACCAAGTGCCTGTCACTCCCTAAAACACAGCAGCTACTATATTCTGTTAAAAGCCCGATGTAGTCCATTAGCCCAGAACAAGGCAGTCAGCTCCCTCACTCCATCACTCTGTATTTCTGAATTACCATGTATGGGATTTTTAATAATAAAGATATATTTTAAGAACTGTGAAATGCTTTATTTGCCTTTGGTGAATGTATATATAGTAGAGTTTTTTAAAAATCTTGATTCTATGTCACACTTTGAAAAACCTACTTCCGTGATTCTGGCTTTGCCAATATTCTTGATAGAACTTAAGAAAATTAGGAACAATAAAACAAGGATATCTTTTTAGGGGAATGAATTGTGAAATGGGAACTTTCTTATTTCATAGTAGAAGAATTCAGAAAATAATACCAGGTCCATTCATTAAAAGAACTGAAACAAATTTGGAAGAGTCTAAAATGTTACAGTTGATTAACTGCTGTGGCAAAATTGTCTTGTAAAAACAGCAGACAATCATTAGTTTCAAAATAATCTGGAGAATGTGTTTATTATAAAAGTCGGAAGGTATTTTGTTATATTTAGCATCCTAGACTGGAATTTTCAAAGCCAGTTGCTAATAAAGGAAATGTTTTCCTCTGTGAGCCGTGCTTATAATTTTAAAGTCCCCAAAGCACAGTATTGTTGCCAAACTAAAATACTTGGAATTTAAGCTTTTGGAATGATCCTCTTCCTGCCCAACCATGTTTTTACAATGTAGCTTAGGAAAGAAGGAGATGAAACATGGGCCAAAAGATTGGCATATTAAAGTTTATGATTGGCCACAACTAGACAGAAGAGCAAAAGGACAGCAACTTGTCTGTTCCCCTTCTCTGATTCCCCAACACTCTTCCCCTCCCCCAACTCCCCAATAAAATCTTAAAAAAAAAATTTATGATTGGGTTGACATTTCAGGGGACTTAGTTTTGGAGGTTAGAGTGAAGGCTCTGGGGTTTTCTGCTGTACTTAGATGCTGGAGTGCTATTTAAATTAGAGTTTCACTCCTTCTAAGGCTTCCTTTCTAGATTGATGAAAGCAGTATTGGGAGGAAATTGTGACATTTAGAAAGGGGAGTGTAAATCTTCACTGAAGACAGTGATTAAGAGCAGGGGCTTAAGAATCAGCTGGATCCATCTTGAGCCTGAGCTCTGTCTCTTAAGAGTTGTGTAACTGAGCAAATCACTTAACTTGTATGAAAGCCTCAGTTTGTCCATCTCTAAAATGGGAGTGATATAATAGCATGTGCATCAAAGTATATTCACGTGGATTGAATGAGCGTGCATGTTACATAAGTAGCACAGGAATAGTCACATTGTAACAATGTGTTAGTTATTGTTTCTGGTTGAAATATAATGTTATAGGAAAAAAATTTAATACTCACTTCCACTCTTGGAAGATGATTAAATCTTCAAGTTGTGTTTGGAGTACTCTTCCTATTCACCTTTTAAGGAAAGTGTATGGACAGGACTTGGCCTTCTATGGCCTATCTTTTCAGTTCATTTTCTTGCTGCACTTTTCAGTGTTTAGAATCACAGTCAAACTTTCACTGAAGAAGGAGCATTGCTATACACAATTATCTTCCCTTCCTGGCACTAACTAGCTGTAATATAGCTCAGGACAGTGGTGAATAATTAAAAATGGTTTTTCTGATAGAATTTTAAGAGTGAACTACTGAAATAAAATCTTATTTTAAGAGCTATAAGTACTTTGGATGGAGGAGAAATGCTTTATTTCTGTCAAAAACATTTTTTTTACATTGAGAAATACTTTGGGTATTGAAAAATTAGTGAACTTTAGCTATGGTTCTTAGAGAAGGCGAAAGATTGATTTGTCATACAATAACCCACCATTTTAAGTTTCTTATTTATGTTGATCATACAAGTATACTTTTATTTTAAAAACTCAGTTACTCCCCAATTTATGAGTAATTGTTTTAAAAGCTAATTTTGTTTAAAATGTTTTATGTTTGCACAAATTTGTGATTTTTCATTAGAGGAATTTATATCTTTTTTTTTTTTTTATTAGGAAACTGTTTTTCCAGGACCCATCAGCTCCAAGTCAAGTAGTTGTTTCAATCTAGTTGTGGAGGGCGTGGGAATCGAACCGGCAACCTTGGTGTTATGAGCACTGCGCTCTCTAACCAAGTGAGCTAACTGGCTGCCCAAGAATTTATATCTTTTAAAAATGTTAAATTGCTCTCATCAGATGTTAGAGGAGGGATCCTAGAGGTCATTATTTTATGGAAGTGGATACCACAGCCCAGAGAGTTTACTTGCTTAAGGTCACACAGCTGGCTAGATGCAGAATGGTTAATAGTATGAAGCTTTTCTAATTCTTGTTTTTTCCTCATGATGTTACATAATGCTGCCTTCAAGTATACAGAATTAATTTACAGACTTTAAAAGCTTCTGCATTGATTGACTTTGATAGAAAAATATCCAAATATTGCCCTATTTTTCTTATGTGGCTACAAAAAGAAAATAACAAATGTTTCAAAATGTCAAATATATAAATAAAAGTAAACTCTCAGTAAATATGGAGATTCTGAGAGGTTTTTTTTGGGGGGGGGGTGCAGTAGAAAAAGTTGGTTAGGTCCAGTTTTCCTGGTTATTGGATGACTGGTGATTATATATTTTGAAGCTCAGCCCTGGGCGCAGTGACTTGGGAAGGAAACTCCCAGGGTGGTGCAGGCTTCTTGCTCTGCGCTGTGTGTGAGGCTGCTCAGAATATATGATTTCCGGTTGATGACTCTTAGTATCAGAACTGTTTGTTTTAGCAATAGTTAGTCATCCAGTATCACACACCTTCTTCTTAGGACATTCACGGAATCCAGGGTCTGCTGTATACAATCTCTGTTAGCTCTGAGGAAGGAGGGCTGCTGTCTTGTGTCCATGAGGAAAACGTCCAGGATTTTATACCAATTTTGGCTCCAAAACTATTCTTCACTGATTTGAAGAAATCCTATAACTTTGAATGCATCTGGGAACTTAGGAAATGACTCTTATACCTAATTCCACAGTGCAAATAATTGTCCTTTAAACCATTTGAAAATACGTGTCAATATTTCTGATTTGCACACTCTGCTGTCTTTTTTAGGATCCATATAGGGGGAGTGTGTTGAGCATGTTAGCGCTCCAGGGGGCTTGCAGAGTGACTCACCTGCACACAGCTTAACCTGTTCCCTGTGCTGTGACGGCCTTCCCAGCCTTCCTGACTGGGGGTGAGAACACAGCCCTTCATGCATCATACTGCCTGTGGTTTGGAAAAGGGACAGAGATACCCTGACTCTTGATTGTTAATTTTGTGAGGGTCTTTTTGGAAGAATACTAATTTGTTCCTGGCATTGGGCCGAATTCTTGCCTTCCAGGCCTTGTCACATGATGGTTGCCTGGTTAGGGTGGTGGTGCGGTGCCAGTGAGGGCAGACCTGGTCTCCATTAGGCAGCTCACCCTGATCTTTGTTCTTGTGCTGTT